TGCAATTTGTTTCCACTGTCCCGAGCTCCTAATGATCTTAGATTCTTAGCGTTTTTAGTTTTTAGGTTTTAGTTTTTACTTAGTTAATTAGTTTACTTGATTTTTAATTTAAGTTTTAAACTTTAATTTTAGTCAAAAAAGACAAAAACTTAAAAAGATGGTGAAAATTTCAACCCGGGCGAGCGTAGCGGGTCGCACGAGTTCAGCGGGCACGACGGGTTTGACAGGTTTCAACGGGTTTCAACGGGCCATTCACCTAAACGGGCTGAAGCCTTCAACCGGCCCGTTTTCAGGCCCGGGTCCAGTTCAACTAGTTCAACCGGCCGGGCCGGGCCGGGTTCAAAAACATTGCTTCTTTGGCGTTGTTCCTCTCCTCTAGCACCATTGTTGGTCTGCAAATCAAATCACACACCCTCGAGCACCAATTGCAGAGCCAGAGAACCAAGCTAGGTTTATATGAGCATTCAAAAAGACCAAATCGAAGCAAAAACCACAAATTGCCAAACCCAAATTCCATGCCCTTCAATCCCAAATTCTGTTCATTTTGTTCATCTCTAGAGTTATTCAAACCAAGATTAGATCCAATCTCATCACTATAGCTCTTGAGATCTTATTCGAAACTCAGATATGTTCTTCTCTCTCCATCATGGACAATTTTTCATGTGTCAGTATATGTCCAAAGTGAATGACCTCGGACAATCCTGCAATGGCCGAGAATGACCTCAAGGCGTCCGAGGACAATCTTCCAGCTCTCGCCTTGTCATTATCCATAAAAGTCCGACCTCATTGCACGCTAGGCATATTGAGATTATGGTTACTAATTATGTCATAATTTGATTATTGTAATGAAAAAATTATATAGATACTACTTCAAGACTTATAAATACCTTATAGAGATTAATGGTCTATTGGTTTTAGTAAAAAAAGTTTGGTTTCCTTAAATAAAATTTTGAGATCGAGTCTTGTGGATGGAGAAATAGGCACAGGAAGAATTTTCTTCAAATAGAGTCCGACGCGACTCGATTTTGAATTAATCGGGACCTAATATTGTTATCAGATACCAAGAAATTAGTAAAAAAAAAAACCCTAAACAAATACTGAATCTAACTTAAAAATTTTTAATTAATTTATTTTAATTTAAGTATTAAAGTATTTATATTAAAATTTAACCTCAAGATTTTGCAAGTTTGCTCATCATTGGATCTAGACTGAAGGTGTTGATGATTTCAAACCGTTAACACTATTTACATCTCCAATCATGTTGGTTATTCTTCCCCTCTTTCATCCAGATCTACAAACTCGCATGTGCTGATTGAGGAAGGAGAATGGAGAATGAGAAGAGAAGAGGAGAGGAGAAAGAAGAATTCATAGCCTTGAGACAGCATGATCCAAAACCCCTAGCTGGTTTCCCTTGTCAGTGTTGCCGCAACCAAAAGGAGATTAAAAATGTAAATTTTCAAGAAATGATTTTTGTATAATTTTTTTGTCTCATTTTTTTATACAACTTGACATGTTATTTAAATAATTTGTTTTTTTTAATTTATGTAGGATCCATAATATTAAATACATACATTTATTTAATAACATGTAAAAATTGTATAAGAAGATAATATAAAAAAGTTATCTTTATAGCACCACCTAATTTTTTATTGTAAAGAGTTGCCACATCAGCCCCTAAAATTCCACCTAATACTTATATACTTAAAAAATGTGAATTTTCTAACGGAAGAAGCTGCCATGTCAGCTTTCCGTAAGGACGATTTTGGTGCAAAATTTATGAGTTAAGGGACCAATTGAGTGCAAATTTCTAAAATTGTGGAACTGAAGAAGGGGGATAAAACCAAAATGTAATACACATTCGGGTAATTAATTACATAAACAAATACAGCTGGAAATGGAAATGGAAATGGAAATGATCAAAGAGTAGTGATTTCATCCCTTATTAAGTGCATGGTTTGGACAACAATGATTAATTTCATTCCTACATTGATGAAGTTCCTGTGACACATTTTCTGCTGAAGAAAATGAAGTTCGGGAAGGAGTTTGCAGCACAGATGGTTCAAGAATGGCAAGCAGCATACATGGATTACAACCATCTCAAGGGAGTCTTGAAGGATGTACTACGCTTCAAGCAGCAGAACAGACAGCACCCAATGGCAGCCACCGCAAAAGGGTTGAAGAGGAGGCTGTCCCTGTACAGAGCCTTCAGCGGGCTGACAACCCGATACAAGTCGGGGTTTCCGGCTAAGACCCATGAGGATGAAGTGATACTAGTGGGTGGTGTGGAGGAAGCAGGGGAAAAGGGTCAGTACGAAACAATGTTCCTCCGGGTGGGGGAGGAAGGTGGAGAGTATGAACTTGTGTTCTTTAGAAGGTTGGATGATGAATTTAATAAGGTGGTTGAGTTTTACCGGAAGAAGGTTGAAGAAGTGATGGCAGAGGCTGATGAGCTGAGTAAACAGATGAATGCCCTGATTGCCCTCAGGATCAAGGTGGACAATCCGGTAGTTGGAAGGGATTTTGTTGCTAATGTAGCCAATGATTGTGCCCCTTCGAATTCAGTATCTGTTCATTCCGTCCATGGTGGAAAACCTGGTAAGGGAATTATTACTTTGATGCAAATTTAGATTTTCCCCTCGTTTGATGATGTCTTCTGTATCTGTTTGACAAAATTCCAAAAAGAAAATTTTGTCTTTTGTGGGTTTAAGTTTTTCTAAAGTGTCTGGGAACTCTCAATCTGTTTTTGTATAGGATGGTCGCAAAAGGAAGTTATTCAAGAAGTTGAGATGAGCAGTGAGGGATTCTCGGAGGAGGAGACGAAGGGAGGTAGCGACATTGGAGACCCTGAGAGCAAAAAACCTGACATTGATGGGTTTAGACCAGCTTCATTGGAAATCTTGGATCATGTAAAGAACAATATGGAACCGGAAAGTCCAGTGTCAATGTTGAAACGTGTCCTCAGGAATTCTTCAAGATCGGACCTGTCATTCAGCAGACAGGAGCTGAAGAAAGCAGAGGAGCTCATGACACGGGCTTTTTCTGAATTCTACCAGAAGCTTAGACTTCTGAAAAGCTACTGGTACCAAACTTTTCCTTGCTGTTAACAATGGGAAAATTTTCTTAAGATCTACTATATCAGCATGTTGTCTAATTGATGTATTGACAGCTTCCTGAATCAATTGGCATTTTCCAAGATCATGAAGAAGTATGACAAGGTTTGAAGTCTAAATCTTTGGCTTTATCATTTGTTTGGTAGATTGCATTTGCAAGGTCTAATTTTTTTTTTCCCCTATTGAATTCATATTGCTGCAGATCACTTCAAGAAATGCTTCGAGGACTTACTTAAACATGGTGGATAATTCTTATCTTGGCAGCTCCAATGAGGCAACTAAGCTCATGGAAAAGGTGGAGGCCACATTTGTTAAACACTTTGCCAACGGGAATCACAGAAAAGGGATGGACATTTTAAGACCAAAAGTTAGAAGGGAAAGACACAGAATTACATTTTTCTGTGGTAATAGAGATATTTGTTCTTATCTTCTGGTAATCAGTCTGAAGTAGATTGAAAATTCATCTGCTTTGTTATGTCCTATACCTGCAGGCTTCTTTTCTGGCTTCTCAATTGCACTTATGGTAGCAATTATTGTGCTTATACATGCAAGAAATATTCTCAAAAACCCAGGAAGGAATAAGTACATGGAAAACATATTTCCCCTTTACAGGTGAAGTGTCTTAGGTCTTTGCAAAAAACTTTTGTTCCAAAGACACACGAAGAGATGCATTAAATGCATTTGGGCAAATGAATTCAAGGGTTATGATAATTTTGTGTGATCTTTCTGCAGCCTGTATGGATATATTGTTCTGCACTTGCTTATGTACTCTGGAAACGTTTTCTTTTGGAAGCGTTATCGCATTAATTACCCCTTCATCTTTGGTTTCAAGCAAGGAACAGAGTTAGGCTATAGAGAAGTGCTACTTCTTACTACTGGTCTTGCTGTACTTGCATTAGCCGGTGCAATTTCAAATCTGGATATGGACATGGATCCAAGAACACAGAAATTCAAAACTCTAACTGAACTAGTCCCTTTAGGCCTACTCAGTGTAAGCCCTACGTGGTTTATCTCTTTAGTTTAGTTACATCTCTTCTTTCTTCGTCTCTTCTTTTTTTTTTTTCAGTTTATTTTAGTTGCATCTTTTCTTACATAAATATATTCACTCTTGTTTTGCAAATTCCAGATTGTGCTTCTAATAACATTCTGCCCCTTCAATATCATACACCGATCAAGTCGATTTTTCCTGATCAGATGTGCACTTCACTGTCTGGTTGCACCCTTCCACAAGGTATCAAGAATGAACTATGTTTATCCCAGTAAGCAAGTCTACGTATACTTGTGTTTGTGAGTAATTTCATGCATGAAGATAGAAATTCATCTTCAACTTAACTTGCAGGTCACCCTACCAGATTTCTTTTTGGCAGATCAACTTACAAGTCAGGTTTGATACTATGTTTATCCCAACAAACCTATATAATTACTATGAGTCTGACCTTTTTCTGATGTTTTTCAATTAAATATTTGTCACTAACTGTTTCAGGTACAAGCTTTCAGAAGCTTGGAATTCTATGTTTGCTACTATGGATGGGGGGATTTCAGGAGAAGATCAAAC